GGGGGGGTAGGGGGAGGCAGCCCCGGGTGCACGGGGAGCGGAGCAGCCGCTCCTCCCACCGCTGGGGAGAGGGTCTTTGTCTGGATGGTGTCTGGGAGGCGGCTGCCCCCCCATGCGTGGGGAGGGGCTGCCCGCAGCTGCTGGCGGGCGCTGGGTAGGGTGGGGTCTCTGCACCCCAGTGCCTGGCTGGGAGGCAGGGGTGGGGGTGCCCTCTGCTCCAGCCCCGGCTGGAGGGGAGGGCTCGCTCCCCGGTGCCCTTGCTTGGCACACGAGGGTGCAGATGGGCTTGGCAGTTAACTATCCGCCGGGTCCAAGGTGGTGTTGGAGCCTGGCCGGGGCTGCGCCCCAGGGGCCCTCCCAGCCCGCAGGACTGTAGCGCTAGACTAACGCTCTGGCTGTTTCAATGGGGCGTGGGGAGAAAGGAGGTGCTACGGAGCCAACTTGCCGGGCCAGCCTGGCAGGGCGGGTCTGCTGCTGCCCCACTTGATGGAGCATGAAATGCACCTGTGCGTGGCGTGTCGCTGCCCGACGAGTTGCGCCAGTCGGGGCTGCGCGGGGCGGGGAGCCAGAGCCCAGAGCGGGGTGTCGGGAACTTGCCCTCCGCAACTCCTCCATTGTCACGCCTGCCTCCAGACGGACACCCCCACAGCAGTGCTGGGAACAGGGAGTGGCCAGCTCGGCCTCCTTTGAAGGGAGGGGAGTGGCTGGCAGCCAGTGGGGCCCTCCCAAAAGCTGGCTCCGTGCAGTGCCACTGGCTCCTTGCAAAGCTCGCTCTCACCATTGCCTTTTATGGTAATAATGTGAGACGGGAGCAGGGACTTCCTTTGTCCCAAATCTGTGCAAAGGCAAAGTATGCAGTGCTGGGCTCCCCCTCGCGGCCAGCTGGAGAAGAGGCGCAGAGCAAACAGGAAGCTAGAGAGGAAATGGGTGGGGTAGGCGTCCGGCTCTCCGTCTTGGCAGGAGCTTTACCACATGGGGCTTTCCTCCTCCCAGCAAGACAGGATGAGCAGCCTGGAAGCCCAGACGGGCCACGGTCTAGGAGTGCCCACGAGCTACCTGGCATGCTCACGTTGTCTTGTGTTGCTTTGCAGTTAATTCGCCATGGATGATGATATTGCTGCGCTCGTTGTGGACAATGGCTCCGGTATGTGCAAGGCCGGCTTCGCTGGGGATGACGCCCCTCGTGCTGTCTTCCCATCCATCGTCGGGCGCCCCAGACACCAGGTACGCGGGAGGGGATGGGGTGCTGCTGCCTCTATGCTAGAAACGGTTTCCAAAAAAATGGAGTGGCTCTAAAGACTCCAATTTGTAGACTGGAGAAAAAACAACTCATTTCCACTCTAGGGACATCCTTCCTCGATCAGTTGATGGCTTGGTTCATCCAGCAGTTCCCCTCACTATAAGCCACTTGAAAAGCTGGCTGGCCCCTAGCTCAAGTCATGGCTCTGGTAGAGGTGGTAGGATGTGGCTGTTTGAATTTAACTAATGGCAGCCCTTTTTTTCTTTTTTCTTTTTCTTTCTCTTCAGGGTGTGATGGTTGGCATGGGCCAGAAAGACAGCTACGTTGGTGATGAGGCCCAGAGCAAAAGAGGTATCCTGACCCTGAAGTACCCCATTGAACACGGCATTGTCACCAACTGGGATGACATGGAGAAGATCTGGCACCACACCTTCTACAATGAGCTCAGAGTTGCCCCTGAGGAGCACCCTGTGCTGCTCACAGAGGCTCCCCTGAACCCCAAAGCCAACAGGGAAAAGATGACACAGGTGTGTACTGCAGCCTGAGCCCCCCACCCTCAGCCACTTGGCTCTGGTCTGTGGAGAAGCTGCTGGCCAGCCCTCCTCCCTTCCTGTCTTCATCTTTTTTCCCCCCTCTCCCTCCCCTTTCTGCCATTCTCTGCAGGGTTTTCCATTCCTGACCTGAGCCTTCTCTTTGCTGGATCTTGACAGGTTTTATTTGTTCTTCTAAGCTGGTTTCCTCTTGCTGCCTTGATACTACCAATTCCTCTAACTGCTGTTTCTGACTAGACACTAACTGTTCACCTGTCTTGAGTGATTTCTGCCATGTAGCTGTCTAGTTTTTGGGGGGGTGATGGAGAATGTGGCTCTCCTGAAGCAGCTGTGTTGCACCTGGGCTTTTGCCCATGTTCTTAACTTTTCCCAGGACTCGGACTTGGGTTGATGGGTTTGCTGTGGTAGCCCAGAACTGATTGGCATGGCCTCCCATTCCAGTGGACCCATGATTGTTGTCTCTGGGGACACGGGAATGGTCTAGCAACATGACACTTGCATGACTTGGAAACAATCTCTCATGAGCTTCTTGGCCCCCTTCAGTGAGCATAACCATTCTCTCTCTTTTTTCCCCAGATCATGTTTGAGACCTTCAACACCCCAGCCATGTACGTAGCCATTCAGGCTGTCCTGTCCCTGTACGCCTCTGGTCGTACCACTGGTATTGTGATGGACTCTGGTGATGGTGTCACCCACACTGTGCCCATCTATGAAGGCTATGCCCTTCCCCATGCCATCCTCCGTCTGGATCTGGCTGGCCGTGATCTGACGGACTACCTCATGAAGATCCTGACCGAGAGAGGCTACAGCTTCACCACCACAGCCGAGAGGGAAATCGTGCGTGACATCAAGGAGAAGCTGTGCTATGTCGCCCTGGACTTCGAACAGGAGATGGCCACTGCCGCCTCCAGCTCTTCCCTGGAGAAGAGCTACGAACTCCCTGATGGTCAAGTGATCACCATTGGCAATGAAAGGTTCAGGTGCCCTGAAGCCCTCTTCCAGCCCTCTTTCTTAGGTAAGTCTGCTCCCATCCTGGTTAAGAGACTCTTATCCCACCAGGCCTCCCATAGGTCCTTGGGGAGGGAGGGTGGGTGATGCTTTCTTACCAGAAGTGACTAGATAACAGGACTATCTTGGTGTCAGTGGCTGAGGGGCCCCACATAGTGGGGAGGTGGGGTGAGGAGAGCTTTTTACAGAGTAGGACTTCTGCTGATGTCTTGGCTGTTTCCATCATACCTATACACCAGGCTTTCTCGTGTATGTGACTGGCTAGCTGACCAACTCCTTAACGGATCTTGTTTCTGGCCGTCTCTTCTGGCAGGTATGGAATCCTGTGGTATCCATGAAACTACCTTCAACTCCATCATGAAGTGCGATGTTGATATCCGTAAAGATCTGTATGCCAACACTGTGCTGTCTGGTGGTACCACCATGTACCCAGGCATTGCTGACAGAATGCAGAAGGAGATCACAGCCCTGGCACCCAGCACAATGAAAATCAAGGTGTGTACATGTATATTTTTTTTTTTAGTCTTGAAATGCCTACATCTACCCTGTCCCAACAAGGGTTGGTGGTGCCTAGACTTAATGATTCACCTAGGAAGGAATTGGCAAATTCTGGGTAATTTGTACCATAAGAGTAGTGCAAGGTCTTGGCACTTGCACTGGTGTAGGTGGTGCAGGCAAGGCCAGCATTGTCCTAAGAGTGGTCTTTTTCTGGGTAGAATGGCTGACCAAATGACGCACCTCAAATCCAGGAACACTTGTGGGATTGTTAGACAAGATGCTCACTTCAATGGCAAGCCTAGTAGCTTGGTCCCAACAATAGAAACATCAGGGGTAGGAGATGCAGCTGGGAACTGTAGGCACTTTTGTACAGGCCTGAACTCTAACCCTCTCTCTTGTTTCCTGCAGATCATTGCCCCGCCTGAGCGCAAATACTCTGTCTGGATTGGTGGCTCCATCCTGGCCTCCCTGTCCACCTTCCAGCAGATGTGGATCAGCAAGCAGGAGTATGATGAATCTGGACCCTCCATTGTCCACCGCAAATGCTTCTAAACCGGACTGTTACCACGTCACACCGAAACAAGAACCCATATCTGCGCATCAACCAAGACAAGATTGGCATGGCTTTATTTGTTTTTTTTGGCGCTTGACTCAGGATTTAAAAACTGGAATGGTGAAGGTGACAGCAGCAGTCTTAGCGTGTCGGAGCGATGGTCCCCAAAGTTCTACAATGCATCTGAGGACTTTGATTGTACATTTGTTTTTTGTTTTGTTTTTTAATAGTCATTCCAAATATTGTATAATGCATTGTTACAGGAAGTTCTCGCCTCTGCGAAGGCCACAGCCCAGTTTGAAGGAGCCTGTACCTAAAGAGAGGGTTTTAGGTGTAACTGCTTGTCTGTAAATTATGTAACCCAACAAGTGTCTTTTGTATCTTCCGCCTTAAAAACAAACACTTGATTCCTGTTTGGAGTCTGTCAAGCAAGCAGGGCTGTGTTTCCCAGTGGTAGATGTGAATGAAGGCTTTAGTACCCCTGGAGCGTCCAGTGAAAAAGCGGTGCCAGTATGTGGGGGAGGGAGGGGCTACCTGTACACTGACTTAAGACCAGTTCAAATAAAAGTGCACACAATAGAGGCTTGACTGGTGTGGACTCATGTTCTTGTGGTTTTGTTTTTGTTTTTTAACCGGCTATAAAGTTGCATGCTGATCTCCTAGAGTGTGGGTTTAGGGGGGTGGGGAAGAAGCCTGCAAGCTGTGCATTTGCACTGGCTGCTGTATAGTGAAGTGCCATCTCCCAAGGGTTGAGTTTGTGGTTCAAAGGATGCTAACAGCTAGAAGTACCCCTTTCCTAGCCACCACAGATGGTGCTGAGCTGTGTTCTGACCTTGCATGCCTATTTTGCCTCTCCAAGAACCAAGGTATGGGCCATAATGTAACTTAAAAGCTTTGGTAGCCCTGTGCAGTTGCTAGATTCCTCCCCCACTACTGCAAGGAGGAGCATAGTAGTACTGTATCTGGTACAAATAAGATCAGTACTGAGGAGGGTGGGTGGTTCCTCCCCCTCTAAAACAACAGGGGAGTTGCTTTAGTCTGTCAAAGGGCTGCCTTAACAAGCAAAGCCTGCATTTCTGTTCTCATTATTACTCCCACTCCATAGCTGGAGGTTCTCAAAAGTGCTGAGCACCCAGAGCTGCAATGAGTCAGTAGGGGCTTGGCCCTTATCTTAGTGCCGGGTCTTCCGCAACACATTGGAAAAGCTAGGGCAGGAAGAGCTGACTTGGCATCTTACTTTTACTACATGGCTCTCAGACCTACTTAGCTGATTTAAAAAAAACAGCACTGGTTCTGGGTTTCCCTTCCTCTTTTCTGGTTGTGGGCTCTCTGGAAGATCCGATATCCTCACAAAACTACCCACAGATCTGGGTTGAAAACATCTGGGAGCTGGGTGCCTAGTGCCTCGGAGTAAATGTGAGTGCTTGTGATTTGAAGGAAGCCAGTGCAATCTGTAGACACCTGGCCCTGTCAACAAGGGAGCACATACAAGCCTAGAAGCTTGTCCACGATGACAGGGCACTAGTTCAACTGCAGGGGTTAGCTTTGATGTAGGTGATAGACAAGTCTCACAGCGAACGGGCCTTGTTCCCAAGTGCTCTTCTATATATGTCCTTGCTCTGAAGAGCTTTTGGTGCCAGTGGCTGCATCTGGCTGAAGGATGGGGGAGGAGGGAGAGATGCATGGGCTGAGTGGGGCATTACTATATGCCAGTAACACCTAAAGCCCCAGCTGAGACCAGGGCCCATTAGTGCAGGCACTCTTGCTAATGCACATACTTAGTGAGAGCCCATGATCCAGCCTGTCTGAACAGAGCAGATAGCCAGAAAAGGCAAAGCCATTTCTCCAGGTTAGAGAGGTGGGAGCAGAACCAGCTTGGGTTTCAGCCCAGGGCCTGCCCAGTTCTCTGTGCCCAGCATGTGCTGGGTTCTCCCTGAGACAGTAGTGTTCACCTGTGCTGCACAGGGAGCCTGAGGGACTGGAGAAAGCCAAGATGTGAAGGCAGCAGCAGCTCAGTTCGTGAGACCATGGAGGATGTCCCAGGCCAGGTCTTGCCCTTCTCATCCAGGTGAGATGCCAGGGTAGTAGTCTGCACTGTCTTTCTGAGGTGTCTTATCACCCACCTGCCTGTGTAGCAGTGATTGTACCAGGCTAATGGCAGAAAATTGGCTGAACTCAGGCTTGCATTTCACTTCCATCCTTGGCCTGTTCTTCCAGGGCATGAAGCAGCATCCAGGAGGCACACACTTGTGCTGCAGAGCCCTCACTGCGTTACAACAGGGCTGCACATTCCAGACAGGATGCATGCCTGTGCTCTGGAGTCTCCTGGGCTTTGTTCAATCGGTCCTAGTCTCACCAATACATCAGCAGCTGTAGATGCTTATGGAAGATCACAGCTTCCAAACTCCTGCCTGGGGGTTAAGGGCTGGGGTAAAACAGTCTCAAGGTCCGGTAGGGCACGGCAGTGCTGTGCTTTGAGCCTCGGGGTGCTCAATTCTGCTTCTGTTCCTCACCACTTGCTGTGGAGCGGTGATCGTGATGCACATAAGGGTGGGGGGAAAGGAATGCAACCTCCCAAGCACGCTTTTTCCATAGTAGCTGGACCAGGAAGAGAGGATGGATGTGCACATGGCTAGGGAGAATCTGCAAGGAGGCTGCCTGCCTGGGGGGCTGCATGTGAGGAAGGCCAGGGCTGTAGAAGGGGTTTGGTGACTGAGCAGGGCTGTCTGGCAGCTACAGTCAAGCTACCCTACAAGGGCAGAGGCAGTATTCAGATGCCTGTGGTGTACCTTAGAAACAAGGCTTCATGAAAAATTTCTTTAATAAAAAAAAAAGGGGAGCTTCCCTGGTGAGACCATGTGGCAGCAGAGTACGAAGACACTGCTTCGGTTCCTTGAATGAGGCCTGGCAATCACAGCTCCTCTGGGCATTATGTGCTGGAGGGAAGACTTGTGCATCAAGCAGGGGAAAGCACTGCACATTGCTAGTTGCTCCAGCCTCTGACACATCGGGGAACCCCTGGAGATGTCATCTTTCCTTCAGGATATTTGGGCAGGGGACACTGCTTTAACCAGACCACTTCCTAATGCTGATTCTGAGCTAGGAATGATTTTCTAGCCACTTTTGCAGGTGGGGTGGGGTAGGGGAATATCTCTGCACAGACACCAGGCCTGCTGAGCCAGCATGGCCTGACCAAGGGAGGAATCTAGGGTTTTAATCTAGAGTACTCAGTGCTACATAGTGTAATGAGTGGAGCAGGGGATGAGGAGTCAGGGAAGCCTTTATTTGTTCCTTTCCCTACTGCTGACCTTGGACATGTTCATAGTCACCCTGTGGCCCTGTAAAACACGCAGCTTGGTAAAGTCCTTTCAGAGCCCGAGAAGAAAGAGGCTATGGAAAGGCATAGCGTCAACGTGCATCACGGCATGAGCTCCTCCGTGGTGGCTGGCAGGGCCTCAGCCCTCTGAACAGGATGTTTATTCATCCAGAGCATTGGTGTTTTGGCCGAGTCCCTCAGCATCCCAGATGGAGGTTTCCCTTGTTCCTGCATCCGCTCTCTGTTGGACGCTGACTGCCACCGGGTCCCGAACCTCCGCACTGATCCGTGAGCTGGCGTCCCTCAGATTCATAGATGCTAGGGTTGGAAGAGACCTCAGTAGATCATCGAGTCTGACCCCCTGCCCTTGGGCAGGAAACAGCGCTGGGGTTAAATGACGCCAGCCAGGTGCATGTCCAGCCTCCTCTTGAAGACCCCCAAGGTAGGGGAGAGCATCACCTCCCCTGGAAGCCCATTCCGGACTCTGGCCACCCTCACCGTGAAGACGTTCTTCCTGATGTCGAACCTAACTCAGATAACAGCGATGGGATTCTCCCGGCACACCCACAAGCTAGAAGCCAGATGACTCCCTGGTCAATGGCTGTGTGTGTGGGATTGTTTCTCACACATTTCTGATGAGCAAGCTGGTATTAGGGGAGCTTGCGCTTTCGTTTCACCCGCAGGCAGGTTTCCGAAAGGCCTGAGAATGCCCATATGTCTTCGCTTCTCTTCTGCCACCATCTTTGGGACACTGTGATATGGGCTTGGTTCCTCTCCACCTAGTCTTCACTCATCTTCCATACTATGGTAATGCCACACTTCACGGGATGACAGAAGGGGATTAATTAGGCCCGAATTCATCAGGGTTTTTTTGTCTCCTAAGAGTGCCCGATTTATTCTGGTGGTAGAGACAGACTCTAGTAATTCACCTGCAACCGCCTGGTGGGCTAGAAAGTCACCTCTCTGATCAGCTTATGGAATGAAACGACCAACACATATTAAAGGTGTCCTTGGTAGAGGAGACTTGTGTTTCTCTTGTGAGACAATGGATCATCACCTCCTTTTCCACTCATCTTCCAACCCTATGATACTATTGGGTTGCTGTTACGCATTGCTTTATAAGCTTCCTTGACAAAGTCTGGCCACTAAAGGTGAGACGATGCTTGTTAGTTGTTCCTTAGGAAGTTGTGTATCACCCATGAAGGTGCAGAGTTGATGTTTGCAGGTGTGTATTCAAGCAAGCAAGCTAAGGTCTCCCATGGTGTCAATGCATTACATGCTTTCTGTAGGGAAAAGGGTTTTACTGGGATTCGGTTGCTGAAATAGGTTGGAGATATTCAGAAGAACAGGTCTGTTATTGAAGCTGCTGGTGGTTTTGGTTTCTTGCAGACAGCCTGCACTCTGCAGTCACCAGAGGAAGAATTGTGTTTTGACTCGCTCTGCTGTGTTGGGTCTGCCTGGGGGTTAAGGGCTGGTTTAAAGCACCTGTCTCACCTCCATGGTGATTTTGCCTTTCGTAGCATGCATACTACCAGGGAGATTGCTGTAATGTACAGCAGCCTCCAGGCTGCCCAGATTGTACCCAGAACCTTTACTGTTCTTACAGCAATTACTTGTACATCCCCCACAGCCTACCTGTCCCTGCTCTGAGGCACGGCTGTTTCTCCTATCACACTGGCCCTGCCAGTTGACTTATTTACTGTGTTCCCCATTGGAAAGACACATGTTGTCTGCGCTTTTTCTGTAAAGCTTTACAGATCCCAGCTATCAAGCAGATCAGACCTGCTGGAGGTATATGTAACCTTTTAAATTCAGATTGTCAAAATGTCCTTTTGGTTTGCTCTTGTTGGCATCTAACTCAAAACACTTGGCAACCTGTGAGATTAAAGATCCAAACTCTACCTCTTCTTAGTCCAGGGAGGAGAGACCTCCCAGTCCACATCTCTGGGTCTTTCCAGGGATATGGTCCGTAAAATCAGGTAAGACAAGGAGCAAGAAGAGGGCAGCGCTCTATTCTGTGCCCTTTGCAGGTCTCCTCCGAGGAAGCTTTCATCCTCCAAATTGTACACCCAGCCCAGGCAGCTTCCTCACTCAGCAGAGTTCACCCTTGCGCTGACGAGAAAAACTGCTGCCTGGATCTTTAACCCAGGGCCCCCGGGCCAGTCTTCGGCAGTGCCACTGAACCCTGCATGTATCAGAGCAATGCCTCCATTGCCAGAGCTAGAAGATGCATTAGCTAAGACTGCAAGATGCTTATGGCCACTGCAAGTGACCTGATCACTGTTAAGACGTGGCAGCGCGCCATGCACAGTGCCTCTGGGTGCATCCCTAGCAGGCAGCGGCGCTGAGGCTTGCCCCTTTGCAAACCTCTTTGTTGGGGCTGGAAGAAGACACAGGAGCGGGGAGGCCTTTGTGGTCCTTCCCACAAACAATCTGGAAGAGACTTTCCAAGGAGGTGGTGCAGTCCCCAGCCTTGGACGTCTCCAAGAGGAGGCTGTGCAGACGCCTGGCAGCTGGGATCGTTTCATCTCTGCAGCCTTCCTGCCCAGAGCAGGGGGGCTGGACTGCATGATATTTCGAGGTCCCTTCCAGCCCTTCATTTCTACGATTTCCCAAAAACACACACTGGTGGGAAGGATCCGAGGGCTTTGGGAAAGCATGGCACGGAGGTCCTCAGCAAAGCCTTTGGCGGTCCTCTACCAACATTAGCGGGTTCAGAGGAGTCAGGACCACTCTAGCGCCTGTGACGGAGCAGGCGGCATGCTGCGGGGTGGGCAGCAGTCGCTTGTCAGCGGCTTTTTGCCCCCCTGCCCCGGGGTTTCAGTGATGCCAGCCAGACACCGCGTTATGTAGGAGATGGGGACACATGGGAGAGGTCGGAGAGCTGCTGGAGAGGCTTCCCTCCGGGTCCTGCAGGAGGGAATTGGGTGGCATCCCCCTTGGTAAAGCCCCAGCTCTGGGAGTCCCGGGACAATGCAGCTACCATGTTGCTCGTTGGCCGCTCCCAGTCTTGGCAAGGCCTGAAGCTGTGAGCCCCAGCCCTGGCAGCACAAAGTGGCAGGGATGACATGAGGGGGTGAGGAAGGAGAACACGTTACATCTATTATGCAGCGAAATGGCAAATACCTAAAGACGGCCATCTGCATCACGGGATCAAAGTAACCCTGGCTACAAAGCAGGGGCTGTCCCCGCTACGCTGCAGCTGGCTGTGGGCAGTGGAGCTCCCCTGCCACACCCAACATGGCGCCGCCCGTCCAGGGCGCGTGTGCCTCTCCGAAGATGGCGCCGCCCGTTGAGGAGCGTGTGTGCCCCTCCCAACATGGCTGCCACGCACCTCCCTCAAGATGGCGCCGGAAGTGAGGTCAGAGGAGCGCCGGAAACGCGGTGTTGGCCCTGAGCCGGCTGGGAGCGCGGCTGGGGACGCGGCTGGTTCAAGCGGCCTCGGAGCGCGGCCGCGGGGGCCATGTCCCGCCTCAGGGAGGTAATGCGGGGCCCCGGCACCCCCGGGTCGGTTCCACCCCTCAGACCAGGGGCCTGCCCCAGGGGTGGGGGCGGGGAAGAGGGGGGCCTGCCCCGGGTCGGCTGGGGTAGACAAAAGCTCTGTTGAAGATATAATCGAGAGCGGGTGAAATCTTGGCCCTTAGAAATCAATGGCCAGGTGAGAGGCTGCGCAGGAGGTTGCAGTCTCTGGGGCGGGGGGTGTGCAGGTGAGGGGAGGCTCTTTTTGAAGTGGGGGAGGATTTGCTTTCGCAAGCGTGTGTTGGGAGACCCCGAGGAGGCGGTGGTGAGCTCTTGAGCAATGAACGGCAAGAGCTGAGTGGATGTAAAGAGTTTTCCCCTTATTTTTAAGTCGAAACTTGCGGGTTGAATTTGGCGAGCGGGGGCTGGGTGCTGACAAGGAGGAGAGGCAGCACGCAATCTTGGACAGCGGTTTCTGAACTCTGGTGGATTGCACGGCACCGATTTAAAACGATCCAACCATAGGTACCACCAGCAAATTTCTGTCACATAAAGAAAGGATAATAAATCTGTTAACACGTGTCACTGACAGGTTATCTGCGTACCACAATTTGGAAACTGCTGATCTAGAGGGAAGCATAACTCTGCAGACAGCTGGAGCTCACAGCTCGGTGCCTGAGGAGCCGTAATCCCGTCCCGTATCTGCTCAGTCCTGCTTCTTCCGGTCTAAAGGGGACTGTCCCCTCTCTTCTCTGACTCCGCTAGGTGTTTCCAAGTCAAGTTGCTCCTTTTTCTTTTCAGGAGATCCTGGGCGAGGAGAGCGGGGAGGACTGCCATGTCATCGACCTGATGGGGTTCTCCGACGAGATTCTTCTGCATATTCTAAGCTATGTCCCTAGCACAGACCTCATCCTGAATGTCAAGAGAGCCTGCAGGAAGCTTGCAACACTGTGCCTTGACAAGAGTCTAACCCACGCTGTGGTGCTGCATAAGGACTATCAGGTGGGGGAAGCTTTCTTGATGGTCAGACTGGGGAGTAGCAGGTGGGGGAAGCTTTCTTGATGGTCAGACCGGGGAGTAGCAGGTGGAAGAGAAGCTCTCTTGGTGCTCAGTTTGTGGAGGGCATGAGAACTCTATCGCTTTGCCAGACTGGGCAACATCCCTATGGTATGAAGACAGACTGACTTTGCCAGTTATGAACTGGAAGGCATAAATATAGTGTTATCCCACTGGCCCTGAGGTAGGAAAGTGAGCTTTCTTTTCAGAGCTAAGGTGGTGAGTAAGGCTGCTGTAGATATCTAGCGTCCTGTGGTTCAGGAAGTAGTGTAGAGAGGCAGTGTTATGACACTGGCTTTCTGTTTGGCTTCATGGATAGCAGTGTTTTGTATCCTTAATTAGAAATAGCAATAGGGCTACTTTGTATCATCACTGATCAGCTGTGTACCAGAGCGCTTAGCTGGTCAAAAAGGTACCCTAGATCTTATAAAATACCAGGAGGTGACAGACAAAAAGGACAGTGACGGGATGGAAACTGGCAGCGAAAACATAGCTTTGATTGCCTCTGCCTGCCTGTGATCATTGCTGTGAAACAGTTTTTCCTCTGCTTCATGAAAAGGCCTATCCAAACAGGAAAATATACAGGAGGTGCTGTCGCACAGATCTAGATCACAGCAGACACTTAGTGAGAAATTTTCTCAAGTGCTGTAACTAGGTCATAAAGCCAAAGAACAGCCTACAGATGAAGTTGGCTTTTCAGCTGACTCTGTCTGTAGGCAAGGGGGGAAAGGCGCACAGTATGTCTGTTGAAATGATCTGCCAAGTGGTAGTAGCTGTTCCTTGATCAGTCCAAGCCCTTGCATAGGTGCACCATCCTGATGCAGGGAGAGGAGGTTCATGCTTAGGAATGGTGAATACCCTCCACTTCTGCTGAGGTCACTGTCACCCAGCACCTTTAACTTCAGCCGCAGAATCAGTGACGCAGACTCAGACCAGCTGAACGCTGAATGAATTATCACCTTCTATAGCCAAAGCATGGTGGGTAAAGCAGACTGCCAGCAGTAATAACAGTGTAATACGTCAGAGCTAATGCTTTGTCTCTGGTGTGGAGGTCTGCTTCAGGCTGTTCCCAGGCCACCTACTACTGCCAATTGCTGTCTATTGAGTATCTGAGCAGGGGCAAGTAGGCAGGGCTTATAGAGAAAGGGCTGTACTGTTTGTGTTCATCCAGAGGCCTCAGAAAACTCTAGTAGAGACAAGTGCCATTATCCCCGTTCTGAGGTGGGAGAGCCTGGGGTAGAAATGAGTAGGTATAATTAAGCATGCACTAGAATATTCCTGAGGTTGGTTTTGCTTGAATGCAGGTGAGCAAGGACAAAGTAAAGCAGCTACTGAAGGAGATTGGGAAGGAGATCCTCCAGCTGAACATGGCTGGTTGTTACTGGCTGCCCAGCTCCACTATTGACCACGTGCTACGCTGCAAAAACCTGGTGAAACTGAACTTGTCTGGGTGCCACTTGACCTCCCTCCGCCTCTCCAAAATGCTCTCTGTCCTCCAGAACCTGCGCTCACTGGCGATTGATGTGAACCCTGGTTTTGATGCCAGCCAGCTGAGCAGTGAATGCAAAGCCACGCTCAGCCGGGTCTTGGAGCTCAAGCAGACCCTGTACACACCTTCATATGGTGTGGTCCCCTGCTGCACAAGCCTTGAGAAGCTGCTGCTCTATTTTGAGATCCTGGACCGATCCCGAGAAGGGTTTATTCTGTCTGGCCAGCTGATGGTGGGTGAGAGCAACGTCCCCCATTACCAGAACCTCCGTGTCTTCTACGCTAGGCTGGCCCCTGGCTATGTCAATCAAGAGGTGGTGAGACTGTACCTGGCAGTGTTAAGTGACAGGACTCCAGAGAACCTTCATGTCTTCCTCATTTCTGCTCCTGGCAGTTTTGCAGAGACTGGAGCCACCAAAAACCTGTTAGACTCCATGGCTCGAAATGTTTGTCTAGATGCATTGCAGCTGCCCAAATCCTGGCTTAATGGCTTCAGCCTCCTACAGCATGTGAAGTTCAACAACCCTTTCTACTTCAGTTTCAGCCGCTGTACCCTCTCTGGTAGTTATCTGGTCCAGAAAGTAATTAATGGTGGGAAGGACCTCAAAAGCTTGACCAGTCTGAATCTCAGCGGCTGCATTCACTGTCTGGCTCCGGACTCCTTTTTCCGCAAAGCAGAAGACGATATTGACAGCAGCATCCTGGAAAGTCTGGTGGTGTCTTGCTGCAATCTGAGACACCTGAACCTTTCTGCTGCTCACCATCACAGCTCAGAGAACCTGGGCAAGCATTTGTGCCAGCTCCTGGCACGACTGAAACACCTGCTGTCTTTGGCACTGCCAGTGTGCTCCATCACAGGTGGGGCTGCGAATGCAGACAAACCCCCCATGCAGTCGGTGACTAATATGCTGCCCCAAGGGTTTGGGAAGAAAGCCCGAGTTGGGGTGCAGACTTACCCCAGGAATGTGGAGCAGGGCCATGCAAAGCCGCAGAGCTCGGTGTTTTGGACTCTGCTGGAGAGCCTGCTGCTTTTGGAAAGCTTGGAACTGGTTGGGTCCAACTTCTCCTCTGCCATGCCCCGTAATGAGCCGGCCATTCGGAACTCGCTCCCTGCCTGCAGCCGGGCTCAGCATGTGGGGGATACAGAGGTAGCTGCCATTAGCCAGTTGACCTATTTGCGAAACCTCACCTTAGCACAGCTGCCCAACATCCTCACGGGGTCTGGGCTCATTAGGATTGGAGCACAGTGCCAGCATCTGCGGACGCTCTCCTTGGCCAACTTGGGCATGATGGGGAAGGTGGTCTATCTGCCTGCCTTCATGGACATGCTGAAGTACTGCAAGCACTTAAGGGATCTCAGGTGAGGGGCTGCACATCCTCTTCAGTGCGTTCATGGGTATCTAATGACGTTTGTAATAATTTAAGGGAACCCACAGGGAAATTACAAGATGGGAGCTTTCCCTCCGAAGGCAGGCAGCTCCCTGGGAAAGCTAAGACTCAAGTTTCTCCTGAGCAGCAGGATTGTGGAGGGTGGGAATGTTCTGTGTTGTTCTGGAGGTCTCTTTTTATCTCTCCCCTGAGACATTACTGTAATTGAACAGTAATAGTAGAAGTGACATGATGGGAGCTCCACAAACATGGCTGCGAGAGAATGTATGAGCCCTGTAGAGGGCACTTGGGTGCCAAGAACCATTATTGCTTATACAACCTGGTTGTGTTGGTGACTTTCCTGGATGGCATGTACTCCCCATGGAGCGGTGCAGTCTGGGCAGTGCCAGGAGGAGGGCAGCTCGGCTTTGCAGAAGCTAATCATTTTCCAAAGAACTGTTTGTAATCTTTAGGAATAGTTGGATTTGGCCTGTAGTGAGGATGGCACCCAGACATCTGAGTTGTGGGGTTCCAGCCTTCAGGAGGGCCTGTTTGGAAGGATGTAGTAGGGGAGGCTGTATATAAAAGGATTGCCACAGGAAACGAGTGTTCTTGAGAGAGAATTTTCCTAACGGCCTCTGAGAAGCTTGTCTGGGGAAACTGCTACGCATCCAAAAAAACCCTAGCATTTAAATAAGTTCCAATAGATTTGCCTTCCTTTAGCTGACTTCCCCAGTACTCTTTTTCTCCAGCCATCAAAACTAATTTCAGGTGATGTTGCAAAGCAACATTGTCACCTAGTGAATAAAACTGAGTATTACAAGCACATGTTCCTGCCACTTCCCTGTCCACTGAAGAGGTGGATCCAGGAAATCAAGAAGGGTGGGAGCCAGTCTGTAGGGGAATTGTTCATGGTAGGGTGAACAAGCTATGAAAACCCAGCCAAAGTTCTGATCTCCCTGTGACTCTTAACTGGGTAAAACTGAGTGAGAAGCAAGATCTTCCCTGGCAGCCAGGTATTGCTCACCTTAGATGAGAGACTTTCTGGGTAACTGTTGAGTAAAATGGCTTGCCACTAGCACCATTACTGCCAGCCATTACCTGATGGGCAGTTGTAGGCTGGGACTCTATAAAGCACAACTTAGGAATAGATAGGATTATGCTCTTCAGATCTTCTGACATACTAGAGGAACCCAGACAGATGATTGCATTGGGGGTTGGCTTCTTGTTACTCTCTAATGGATTACCTTTCTCGCAGCAGCTGGCTCTGAAGCAGGGCATGGAACTTCAGCTGTGCTGAGGTCCTGTCACAAATGTGGTCTGAGCTGCCACATCTTCCTTGTGACACTCTCCTTTGGCAGTGGAGCTAGTTTCCATCATATGGGAATCCAGACCCAGAGCTTTCTGAACCTGATTGGTGGCCACAAATGCCATTGCCACCTTGGATATGGACAGCAGAGGGTGAACACAGGGCAGGATGCTGGTTTTGGTCCTGTTTGGTGTGAATCTCCCAATCGACATGTTGCTTTCTGGACTGGTTCCTTTGCTGCAGCCTGCTTAATTCCACTACTTAAGTCCAGGCCAACTCTCTACCCTGGATGAAGTAATTAAAATAAAGGGCTGGGGGAATACTGCATCCACTGGGGTGGGGGAAGCAGCTCTGGCCTTTGAGGGCTTGGAAGTATTCACCCTGCCAGCTACGAGACATGAGATGCTGGTTGGCATGTGAGCATTGTAGAACATTCGTACTTGCTCTAAACCATCACCCTGGTGGGACTAGCTTTGTCGGGCTCCAGACTGGCCACCTGCCCACTGAGCTGGTGCCAGGTAGTCAGCTGGGGTGTGGCTCTGCCTCTATTGCTGTCCCACAAACTGCTTATTGGTTGACAGCTCACTAAAGGCAGGAGAACTGAGTTAGGCCCATCACCTGGGTTTGTGAGGTGGTACCAACACCAGTTATCCTGTATGTCATGTCTGTGCTGCAGAACAAGCCCTAGGGAGCAGCACGTGGTTGAACCAGCAAAATCTTTGCTCCATGTGCAGCCTCCCGTGAGTGCTGCGTCCCCTCGTGGCTTAAAGCATTGTATCTGCAGGTCTGTACATTGGCTTGTTTTTTGTCTTCCCTGCAGGCTAGAGCAGCCATACTTCAGTGCTAATGCCCAGTTCTTCCAGGCATTGAGTCATTGTTCTTCTCTCCAGCGGCTGTGTATCATCTCCCGGAACGGGACTCTGCAGTCTGACGCAGTGATGTCATTCATGGCCAGCTGCCTTGAGGTCATCATGTGCCACATGTTTACGGGGGAATCACTTACGGCTTGCAAAAATCTTCAGCAGTCGATTGTGCGGAGGTGAGAGCGGGGGAGACCAGAGGGGTGCACCAGGGCCCTTTGAGGTTTACCTCCACTTCCTTTGTTCATATGGTCACAGTCTTGGAGAACTCATGCCTGCCTAGTGTCCTGAGAAGCTAGTAGGTGAAATGTAACTCCTTGGAGCTCAAACTGGCCTCCTACTAATGCAAGAGGCAATCAGTGGGACATTGCCAGGTATTGTATGTGTGTTTAAACCTCCTCCCCTCCTCCCACGTGATGGATTCAAAGCTTTGATTATACAGTTGCATCATAAATCAAGTGACAGCTTTATGTCAACAAAACATCTGGCGGCATTTTAAGTGCTGGGGATGTTTGACCTTGAGGTTTTCCTCCTTTCCCATGAGTGACTACATTCATTCACCATCCTCTAATCACAAGTAAATGTTGCTAACTGAAAGTTCCCCAATAGAGCTGTTCAAAGCCTTCTAATTGTCTAAGGGTTATTTTTTTGGCGTAGCCTTTGCATCTTTGGCCATTTTTAAAGTCATCTGGCCTCGCCCATTGCAGCATTCTGTAGCCCACATGGTGGGAAACGTTTGTGTGAGAGCCATGAGCATTGGAAAATATAGCTTTGAATTTAGCTTGGCGTTTGGGAGCTTTCTCAGAGTGGTGACCACCTTGCAAAATATTTCCCATTCAGCAGACTTTCTGCTGCGTCTCTTGTTTGCCTCCTCACCACTCTGCCCCACCAGGCCTTTGCTCTGCCATCAGTCAGCTACTGTTGCTCTCCTCTATTAGGCTCTAATAAAAATTTCAAATTCAACAGCATTAATATTGTGCTGAGGCATTGCTCCAGCCCCCTTGTCCACTTTAGACTGACTTATTCCACTTGGCTTGTTTCCTAGGATTAAATCCAGAGAAGCCTGTGACTGTATTAGCTACCTATCAAACTATGTACAAGGCTGCTTATTCCTGCCTCCTCCTTCGGGATAGTAGTTGCTGGAAACATCTGAGTAAATGAGTCATCGGAGTCCCTGTGATGTGTCAAAGATATGTTTTTACAGTTTTGTAAAAGCATCTGGGATCAAATTTGGCTCTGTGCTGTGGAGATTTTTTTTTGAGAGATCCATGACTTTCTCCCCAATCCATTTCTCTCATTCCCCAGACCTGTTCAAGATGTCACTACAGCTCTGGCTAAATTTTGAGTACTCTTCTGTGCTGCACTTCTCACCCTTTTTACAAATCTTTCCCTCCTGTTTTTCTCTTCCATGCCCCTGCCTTTTTCATGTGCTCTGTATCTCTTAATAATTAAAACCCAGCAAACTTCCAAAGACCAGTTGTTTTCTCCTGGAAAAACGTGGAAAAATGTTTTATATTTTGAAACCATTCTGTCTGTCATCTTTTTGTCTTTTGCTTTTTATTATTAGGGACTTTTATATGAAAAGAGGATCTTTTGGGGTTTTGTTCCTTTTTAAAGGAGAGCATCTGCTGCTGTTGCTAATTCCCTACCTGAAGTCATAATCCTCTATGATTTTGTAATTGGTGGCTCTGGAAATGATTTTGATGTCACATAAGATTATGACTTCAGGAGGAGGAGAAGGAGCAGGAGCAGATGCTCTCCTAAGCAACAAAGGTCCCGTTCTCATGCAACTGTCTCTAGCAATAAAATACAATGGGCGAAATACAGAAAATGATGTGTAAGCAGTGCCGCAACACCAGTGAACCTTTCACCCACATGACTGCCTGCAATCTCATCCCTGCCCTTTGTGCATGCTTGCCTTGAAACAGGGTCAGAAATTGACTTTCTCTTGACTGCATTTTATCTGTTGCTCTAAGGATAGATAGAGAGGCAGTAAAACCCATGAAAAAGGAATGCTCTCCTGCTAGCTGGCTCATGGCTGAACCCTTAGATGAGAGCTTGTTTGTGCAGTGCAGCTTTCTGAGACATGCTTGTCACGTACCCCTCAATCTAATGTCCTGATATTACAAGAAATGCTTGGGCAGCAAATATGCGAGGCAGAACACCCATGTTCCAGAGTAACACTAATTTTGTCTTGGAATGATTTATCGCATGCATGCAGAAGAAGCTGATATGATGGCTAGAGTGCGTGGGTTTGCAGTGGGGAGTGTCCAAGCTGAGCATCTTTGTTTGCTTCCCTCCCTGTGGGGCCCTAAGTCACTATTAGGCACTCCTTGTCTTGGCTGTGGAGATTACTTTGCTCATGTTGAAGGAGCCAGGCCAGGGTTGTTTGCATGTAGGAGGCAACCTCTCTAGCAAGCTTTATTTTTTTTTTCTCATTTTTTAAAGATTTGGAGTGAAGAGCTGTTATGGCTTAGTATTAAACTTGGAGAGGGGCTCTTGCTGCAGCCTGTGGAGTTGGGAGTGTGTCAAAACGTGATCTACAGTACCCCTCTCCCGGCATTGATCCACAGAAGTAGCAGGCACCCAAGATCTGGGAAGGGCAAGCTGGAGTCCGTTAGTGCCACTTTTCTGATTTCAGCTGTTGAATTTGTGCGCTTCCTTTAACACCTTTCCTGATATGACCTATGCAACTTCCCTGCCCTGGGGTTGTTGGTTGATTATCATTGGAGGCAGAAGAGGAGGATTATTGTCCATGAGATGCTAAAATGTGCGCCATGCTGTGAAGTTGGAAAATTCCCTCACTTTGGCAGAGAGCGCCCAGGGAGGGGAGGCCAGAGACTGGGCTGAAGGCCTCAGTTAAGTGTTTGAACGTTCTTCCTCTTCAGCTATAAAATGGGGATACTCTTAACATAGCTCCCTAGCTGACTGGCTAGAGGGGAGCCCAGACCAGTATTGGCTGCGGAAAGAGACATTATTTTATCTGCTAGTCTCTTCACTGCTGGAGGCTGGGCCCAGGTAGCCCAGCTTTGGCTTGAACTCTGTGGTGAACTTCCTGAGGCTGCAGGCAGGGGAATTTGCAGCAGCTCCTTCAAACTTTTGCAAGCGTCAGCTTTCAGGCAAGTTGCTCTTGCATTTAAACTGGTAAATCCCTCTGGTGCAGACTGCACTAGCTGCAGTGGCAAGGCATAGGCATGACAGGACTGCTCTGCAGCTCTCACCGGCAAGTAAAACCATCCCGTGAGCTGCAGAGGAGCTGTGGGCAAATACAGATTTGTGTGTTTTGGGGAGGGTGGGGGGGAGGTAGCAGTTTCTAGCACACGGTGCACTCCCGGGAAGGGAGGGGTCGTCTGCTGTTTATGGCACTAGTTTGGGATGTGGGGACCCAGGTTGGACTCTCAGCTCTGCCGCAGATGTTCTTTCTATGCCCCCATCTGTTTAAAGATGATACTTCTCAACCCCCTAGAGGGTCCCCAGGCAGGCTGACCACAGGAAATGGAGGTGAGGCGCTCTGATTCTGCAGTCATGGGGGATGCACCTAAGAAACAAGCGAGGCTAATGAGAAACCTACATTTTCCTTTATTGACTTGCATGTTAATAAGGCCGTAAATACACTACTGAAATATTTCACTCCAGATGGGTGTTTAAATTGACTTAAATAGATGTTCCCTCACAAACTGCTCCATGTGTTAATTCTAGAAACATACTGTCAATATTGCTGGTGAGTGAAGAGCAAACTCTGCTTTTAGATCCAAGCAAAACCAATTCTTTTATGGAACAAATATATTTTCGTCAGGAGGTGAAACTTAAATCCTTCTCTGCAGGATTTGTTTCAGTGACTGTTTCTGGAAATTTTTAAAATAGTTGTCCGTGGCTGATTTGTCAAATACCAGCACTGCCAGACAATCTTATCCTGTTAAGGGATTGCTTGCTTCAAGCTTTTTTTTGGAAAGGAAATGGCATGTTATTTATAAATTTCCACTAGATGGCACCGTGGTCCATAGTAGATCCAATTCCCTGTCCCTGTTGACTGCCTGTTAAATATTCAGATTCTCTATGTGCCTTGTTCCTTCCATCGCCAGAAATCTTGTATAATACTCCTGTATGGCACTGTTAGTAGGTATGATACTTCACAGACGCCTGGGAGAAGCTCCTTACCATATAGAGCTTGCACAGATTGCAGAAAGGGTTGTGTTATGACATGTTTGGCAAGTATCTTATTAATCTTAAGGGTTTTTTCTTTCTTTCTTTAAAAAAAAAAAGTTTATTCCTTTGTAACTAGCAGTAGTCTAAAAGCTTAAGTATTTACACAGTGCCTATTGCAGCAGTGATTTCAGGCACACAACAGTACAACACAGTGGAAATCTATGGGAAGTCCCTGAAAAGTCACCGTAGAAACAGGTCAAAAAAGTAAACCGGCCAACACCACCCTGCCCCAAATCTCCATCGGTGAGCAATCGCCAGAGATTCTTATTGTGTAAAGGAAAAAATGTCAAGGAATGCAATTCAGTTGTGATGGATAGAAACGTGATCAAAATTGAGACACAGGGCTGGAGTGCCAGCAGCAGCTGCAGTGTGGTGAGGAGGTACTTGATGGAGGGTGGTGACTATGCCGTGTGGCAGTTATCTGTGTCTCTAGGATGTGCTTGTTGCAGTTCCCTGATGCTTGCTACTTGTATTGAAAGCTGCTGGGCAGCAGTAGTGCTGTACAGAAGCATTCTCAACAGTGGCCCTAGGGTGGTCCCAGGGCCGTAATACAGGGTTGGGGGCCAGGTGCACCTGGCTTTCAGTCCTGGCTTTAGTACTAACTTGCTGTGTGACCTTGCACAAGTCCACGTTTTCCCAACCTGTATTATCTGCAGGGGGAGGCCGTGGAGATTGTGCACAGCACTTCATGTGCTCACAGCTTTAGTTAGCATCAGCCAGTGCTGCCATTTGGCTGCTCCCAACACCACTCCCTTCCCTGTTTGCAAATCCAAGAGCTGAAGATTGGGGGAAGAGACGCACTGTCTTATCCACTCCTATCCCTGTTGGGGCAGGGTGGTGTTGGCGTGCTGCCTGTTTGGAACGACTCCTGTCATAGCTTTCCAACCGGCTCCCATGAATGTGTTTCAGTTTAATTAGGATTAATTTAATCCTAATTTTTTTTATTTTTCTTTGTGATGGCAACTACCCCTAA